TGGGCTAGATTAAATATAAGATTTATGAGATCCTAGTAGGTTAACAGTCCACAAAAGTACACAATCAGCATATAATTGCTAGTTAATTTGGCACGACTGATACTCACCTTTACAAATTGCCACCACAGATTCACTATTAAAATTATAGAACAGCAATAGTGAAAAGCCTTTTTGTATCTATTTGTTAATCATGATTGGACTTAGTGCCCTATTTAAGAGTTTTTGTTGAATATTTATTGTAGATATGTAAATGAAGGAATGTATGCTTAATATATGTAAACATGTGATTCCCTCTCTGAATTTGTCATTAAAAGTCTTTATGTTGCAGTTTAGATTTCAATCTTTACCCATGAATAGGTCCATTACTCCAGCTTGAAAAATCTCTGGGTGTGACAATAATAGATCTATAACTTTCAAATAACCCTTGCTTCTTTTTTGCAATTTTTTTTTTTTTTTTTTAACAAAAAATATTGAATAAAAAATAGCAAACTTTTTCACATGCCAACATGTAACCAAGGGTCCTCATTTTATTCATAATTTTCATTTTTTAGCTGGATGGCCTCATGTTAATGATGAGCAGTAAGTAACATTTTCAGTTACTTACATTTTGATTCATTAATTCAACTGAACCCGTTAAACCTCCTTAGCAATTTCAGCCAAACATGTTTAAGAGACCGTGGCATGTTACACAGTAACTTTCATTTTTACTTAATTTGGCTTCCACTGACTTCACTTCAGCTGAACCTGCTGATGAGGTTTAACAAGTTCAGTCAAAACAACCACAGTCATTTGCAAACCAGAACAGTAAGGGAAACTGCTGAAATGAGTGGATGATTTTAAGTTGTTCTTTTCTTTAAAAAAAGAAAAAACTGATTTGATCTTAAATAAATTTTATTATAAACCATCGTTAATGCTTTAAAGTGTTGCTCATGTTGCCAGATTGCTATCAAAGTTTCATTTATTAAGAAATGGAATGAGTGAGACAAAATGCAAAAACTAAAATGAATACAAGAATTCTGTATGAATTATGATCTTTGTCTATAATTAATATCGTTAGCTTCATAGCATAAGTGCCTAAGTCATTTTTTTGTGTTTTGTGTTTCAGACGGACAGGATGATGCAGCAGTGGTAGGGGAGTAAAGTTAGGCAAAAATCTCAATTTGACCAAAAAATGACTTAGGCACTTATGCTATGAAGCTAACGATATGTAGTTCACGGAACAAGAGAATCTATTAAGTCAGCAGTGTAAGGTTCCGGTGTGATGGCTTATATACAGTGGCGGTTTTTCCATATGGGCGACATGGGCCATTGCCCAGGGCAGCATCGTGGTGCGAGGTGGGCATCGGCAAAAAAAGTTGCTTGCACCCATGCTGCCCCGACATCATGCCAGCGCATTTTGGGGAATTTTGCAAGGTGCGCCTGCTGCTTGCTGCTGGCCACACAGGGATAAGAGGAATGGGGTGGCAAGTGATTTTACGCTGGCTGGAGCGGCAACTAATAACCAGCTTGCAAAATAAAACAAAATAAAAACAAACCAACAAACACAAAAACACCAGACATTATGATATAGATTCAAAATTTGCACTGATGTGTTTTCTAAATTCTACTAAAAACATATACGTGAAAATAAGGACGAGGGCCCTCGGTGCGCCTGCTTGCTGCTGCTCCTTTGCTGAAGTCTCACACACAACCTGTCAAAAGGGGAGGGGGTGTGGGCTGCTTCCAAATACATTTCATTCATTATGTTTTAAATCCAAGCCCATTATGTATTAATTATGTTTTCCTGGGTTGTGCGAAATCCCCCAAAAAACCCTATACAAACAGAGTCAGTGCCCTAAGGTGTATGTCTGTTAGTTTATGTTGTGGTGATTCTCAGGTTTCCAGGCCATTTGGAATCGACTTCATGCTTTGTATGAGAGAATATACAATCAATTGAATCCGTTTGAATAAACACTGATGCACAGCCAGATAATAAAACAGCGTAATTATTGTAGCCCAAATGGGAATTCTGTCACAATCTGAAAGCAGGGACTCAAGCGCAGAACAGGTTGACGTCTCAGAGCACCGTTTATTTACACACCAGTGTGATAATATATACAGTGACGGGGAAAAATCCAGGGTTCCAAGGGATTAGGGGAAGGCTCTCTCTCTCACGCTCGCTCACGTCCTCACGTCCTCACATCCAACTCACACACGTTCGTACAGCTGGGAGGTCACAGGTCCCGGAAGGTAAAGTTAGTAGCACAATCATCCCGCCTTGAGAAGAGCTGTGGCCCAGCCTCATATAGTAGTCGGGAAATCAGCTGATCGCCAACAGGTGTGTGAGCCAAGGGCGGGAGCCAGCAGTGAGCTCCGCCCAGGCAGAGAGGTGTAGCCTTATGAGGTCAGCTGGGCAGGCATGGGGACCATGACAAATTCAGGAGTAGGTACTCATAATTCCCATGGACATAGGGCACAGTAATCAGAATCAGAATCAGAATACTTTATTAATCCCTGGGGGAAATTATTTAACATAAGGTGTTCACAATTAATCATGTGATTTAAATGTAACCTGAATGTAATGTGCCCTGTGCACAGTCATATGGTAAATGTAGGTAATTAGAGCAACAAAACTATTATGTAAAGTATGTTTTCCTGGTATGCAACTCTGAAGGGAGTAAAAAATAATGTTCAGAGCTCAAACTTTCTAGAGGAGTGTTTCTCAAACTTTTCACAATGAGTACCACCTCATAAAATGTATGGCTCTTGAAGTACCACCCTTATGACCAACAATAAAGTACAGTAGTATAGGCCTATTTAACACTACATTCAGTTTACACAAGACAATTTTATTTCTTATATGAATGTTATTTATTTTAACCGTCATAAACAGGATGTTTATGGCTTCTGCTCCGTGGCTGCTGGCTGACCCCCACGTCTGGGGCTGTCTTCAGCTCTTTACAGGAAGGTGGCACAGTTGCCCCTCCGATGGTCCTCCTTGGGCTCTTACGCTCTGGGGGCCTCTGGATGTCTGGTGCCTGGATCCCATCCATGCCTGCTTCATGCCCTGGGGGTTGGGGCTCCCCACACCCTCTAGCAGATCATTACATGGAAAAACCTTTTGAATACAAGTGCACTCATGCAAACAGGTGTACACACGGATGTTCGCAGAAGAAACTATATCTTTCTTGGCTGCTACCTCAAGGCATATTGTGCGCTGTCAGTCTCACGTGCTGCACAATAACATTCAATATTTAGTATTTATTGTTACTTATACTTATCTAGGTTATTGCTGTGGTGTTGTGTTTATTGAGTTACTCTGCTTTTTCTTGTTTTCTTTTTCTTTTTAACAGGTTGTTGGGTTTGTATTTTATTATTGTCATTTGTATTTAGAGACATATAATCATTTATGCTTAGAAGTATATGGTTGATTGCATATTGAAAGAAAGTCTTGTCCTAGGAGGTCTGTAACATCTCTATGTAGCCTGAAGAGGGGAGTGTGTTCACTCCTCTTCAGAGTGTTCTGGCATAGATCACACACCTCCTAGGGTCATGAGAGAGGACGTATCTTCTCTTGCTGACATATGGTATAGCAAACACACATATATCTGTTTGAGTGTAATAGCCTTTTGTTTAAGTGAACTGCTGGACTCCCTGGCACCAGTAGGTGCGGGGAGTCTTCACAGGGTCACATCTTGACCCCCCCACCACCACCACCACACACACACATACATATACCTACACGACACACAGACAATGTATTCTTTGTTTAGATGTATATCTATGTAAGACGTCATGTGTTAATGAACTTATGCATATTCATGTAACCTCAATAAAGAGCAGTGTTACGAGGGAGCAGACGAGAGCGACTGGGGTGAGCGACAGGAACACGCTTGTCACAGTTCTCTCCCTCGTGCACGAGTAACACAAAGAACTTTGGTGACTTGCGTCTTGCTTTTGCTGTCATAGTACAATTGTCTCGTTCCAGCTGTGGGTCTGTCTATAGCATCACAGGTGATCCAGCTGATTTTTTTTTAAGGTGTCTTCTCTCACTGTCCCTCTTCCCCTCTGTTTTTTCTTTCCCTCCCTTTTTTCTTTCATTTGTTCTTTCTTTGTTACTCGATGTCCTATACCCTGTCAATTCATGTCCAAGCATTCACCTTTACCTACTAAAACGCTGTCAGACCTAAAATGAGGACGTGGGCCCAGCTAGTGAAGTTCAGCTTGTCCTTGTTTTCATTGTGCATGAGACAGCATGAGACCTCTCACCAATCTCAGTCAAATGTAGTGTCTAGTCCATACTTGGACCACAGATATGACTTTTGATTGTGACACTTGAAGGGATGTAAAATTGACTTAGTTAATAGAGCTTATATGTGTTTTTCAACCCTAAATATATTATATATATATTTTTAAATGTGAACAAAAAACTATTTTCCTATTCTATGTACTTACGTATGCATGTCAAACATACTACATTTATTTTAAAAAAGCAGCTGATTTCAAAGACACTGGATTTCATGCACTGATTGATTGTGTAATCTGCAGTTATGCATTACATGTGCATGTACCAGTAAACTGTCAAGAGGGAATAAATGAATCAGTTTCTCCCATTTTTCAAACTTAACTTAATTAAAAATACCTTCAATTTATAGTCTAAGGATCCTTCTATGTTGTGTCTTATCTTATATTCGTAGCAGGAAGTCCCATGAGATCCCAAATCGTCCCTCATTTGGCATTTGTTCGTCGAGGCTAGGGACATGAGGTGATGGACGTGGCCCTGTAATGGATCTGAGTGTCATTAAGGTTTAAGTGATAAGCTTACTATTTCTTGCACCTTTTTAGACAGAGACAATAGATAAATAACTGACATTTAATCATTACTGTCTTATAGAGCACAAAGAAGGATTGTGCTCCTGGGAAAAACTGGAGCTGGAAAGAGCAGTATTGCCAACACCCTGTGTGGAGAGCCTGTGTTTGAAGTAATCATACCTCAAATCTGGAACACAAGGAATGTCAGGCAAAGTATCATGTCAGTCAGTGGAAGAAGGTACTCTTTATTGACACTCCTGGATTTATTGACACAGACAGACCTGAGGAGGAGATGAAGTCTGAAATATTGAGGTGTATCACAGAATGTGCTCCTGGTCCTCATGTTTTTCTCATTGTGCTTAAAGTGGAGAAATACACAGAGCAAGAAAAGGCTGTAAGAGAGAAACTTAATCAATATTTCTCACATGAAGCATTTCGATTTGCCACAATAATCTTTACTCATGGTGACCAGCTTCCTGAGGGAATGAAGATCGAAGAGTTTGTGAATGAAAGTGAAGCTCTGAGCGATCTGATCAAGAAGTGTGGGGGCCGCTGCCACGTCATTGATAACAAATACTGGAAGAACAACCAGGGAGATGAATACAGGACCAACCAGTACCAGGTGGCAGAATTACTCAAAACCATTGACAAGATTATTGATGCAAACAAAGGAGGCTACTTCACCAATGAGATGCTGCAAGAAGTGAAGAGAGATATTCAACAAGAGGAAGGTCGCATCAAACAGTCATCTCCAGACTTAACAGAAGTCAGGTGTCTGATTCTCTAACATTTGATTGGTTGCCGTGCAAAGTAAGGCAAGACAGGTCAACAAAGGCAAAACATAGTATGCTTGATAAAGCGTTTAAAGCTGTGGAAGTTACAACAGGAGCTCTGTGCGCATTTGTTAGTGGGTCAATAAAATTAATGAAAGCAGAATAAGTGTAGGTTTAGCAGTAGGAGTAGTTGCAGAAAAAGGATTAACGATAGATGCAGCAACAGTATCTGGCACAGTTTCTCCTGCATCTGCAGAGCCAGAATTTGAATAAAATCAGGAGTACCACACTTGATGGACATGAAACTGATGCACAGTGAAGAAGCAAAGAAAGCAGACTACAATACTGCAGCACACTTTTTTTAAAAATGTAAAAATGGGCTAGATTAAATATAAGATTTATGAGATCCTAGTAGGTTAACAGTCCACAAAAGTACACAATCAGCATATAATTGCTAGTTAATTTGGCACGACTGATACTCACCTTTACAAATTGCCACCACAGATTCACTATTAAAATTATAGAACAGCAATAGTGAAAAGCCTTTTTGTATCTATTTGTTAATCATGATTGGACTTAGTGCCCTATTTAAGAGTTTTTGTTGAATATTTATTGTAGATATGTAAATGAAGGAATGTATGCTTAATATATGTAAACATGTGATTCCCTCTCTGAATTTGTCATTAAAAGTCTTTATGTTGCAGTTTAGATTTCAATCTTTACCCATGAATAGGTCCATTACTCCAGCTTGAAAAATCTCTGGGTGTGACAATAATAGATCTATAACTTTCAAATAACCCTTGCTTCTTTTTTGCAATTTTTTTTTTTTTTTTTTAACAAAAAATATTGAATAAAAAATAGCAAACTTTTTCACATGCCAACATGTAACCAAGGGTCCTCATTTTATTCATAATTTTCATTTTTTAGCTGGATGGCCTCATGTTAATGATGAGCAGTAAGTAACATTTTCAGTTACTTACATTTTGATTCATTAATTCAACTGAACCCGTTAAACCTCCTTAGCAATTTCAGCCAAACATGTTTAAGAGACCGTGGCATGTTACACAGTAACTTTCATTTTTACTTAATTTGGCTTCCACTGACTTCACTTCAGCTGAACCTGCTGATGAGGTTTAACAAGTTCAGTCAAAACAACCACAGTCATTTGCAAACCAGAACAGTAAGGGAAACTGCTGAAATGAGTGGATGATTTTAAGTTGTTCTTTTCTTTAAAAAAAGAAAAAACTGATTTGATCTTAAATAAATTTTATTATAAACCATCGTTAATGCTTTAAAGTGTTGCTCATGTTGCCAGATTGCTATCAAAGTTTCATTTATTAAGAAATGGAATGAGTGAGACAAAATGCAAAAACTAAAATGAATACAAGAATTCTGTATGAATTATGATCTTTGTCTATAATTAATATCGTTAGCTTCATAGCATAAGTGCCTAAGTCATTTTTTTGTGTTTTGTGTTTCAGACGGACAGGATGATGCAGCAGTGGTAGGGGAGTAAAGTTAGGCAAAAATCTCAATTTGACCAAAAAATGACTTAGGCACTTATGCTATGAAGCTAACGATATGTAGTTCACGGAACAAGAGAATCTATTAAGTCAGCAGTGTAAGGTTCCGGTGTGATGGCTTATATACAGTGGCGGTTTTTCCATATGGGCGACATGGGCCATTGCCCAGGGCAGCATCGTGGTGCAGGTGGGCATCGGCAAAAAAAGTTGCTTGCACCCATGCTGCCCCGACATCATGCCAGCGCATTTTGGGGAATTTTGCAAGGTGCGCCTGCTGCTTGCTGCTGGCCACACAGGGATAAGAGGAATGGGGTGGCAAGTGATTTTACGCTGGCTGGAGCGGCAACTAATAACCAGCTTGCAAAATAAAACAAAATAAAAACAAACCAACAAACACAAAAACACCAGACATTATGATATAGATTCAAAATTTGCACTGATGTGTTTTCTAAATTCTACTAAAAACATATACGTGAAAATAAGGACGAGGGCCCTCGGTGCGCCTGCTTGCTGCTGCTCCTTTGCTGAAGTCTCACACACAACCTGTCAAAAGGGGAGGGGGTGTGGGCTGCTTCCAAATACATTTCATTCATTATGTTTTAAATCCAAGCCCATTATGTATTAATTATGTTTTCCTGGGTTGTGCGAAATCCCCCAAAAAACCCTATACAAACAGAGTCAGTGCCCTAAGGTGTATGTCTGTTAGTTTATGTTGTGGTGATTCTCAGGTTTCCAGGCCATTTGGAATCGACTTCATGCTTTGTATGAGAGAATATACAATCAATTGAATCCGTTTGAATAAACACTGATGCACAGCCAGATAATAAAACAGCGTAATTATTGTAGCCCAAATGGGAATTCTGTCACAATCTGAAAGCAGGGACTCAAGCGCAGAACAGGTTGACGTCTCAGAGCACCGTTTATTTACACACCAGTGCGATAATATATACAGTGACGGGGAAAAATCCAGGGTTCCAAGGGATTAGGGGAAGGCTCTCTCTCTCAGTCGCTCGCTCACGTCCTCACATCCAACTCACACACGTTTGCCTATATGTATTCATCATATTTAAAACTTGTGAAGCCACCACTAATATCCTATTAGTGAGTTGCAAATACATTTCATAGCAGTAAATGGGTTGCTACACAAAACATTTCTTACACTCAGAACACTTTATACAGCTTTCCGCATTCCTAAGCACTTTCTCTCAATGCAAATGCGCTTCTCTATCAACTTAGGGTCAGCGTTGTGTCCTACAATACTTTAGCATGCAGACTACAGCAGCAAGGCATTGAAACACTGTCTTTCAGAGCTACCTTCTGAGCTACAGCCACAAATAACTAACTTGTAACTATTGTTATTTGACCACACCTGAGACTCAGCGCTGTGGCTGTTTCACTTTGTATTTGTACAGTTGCCAAATAGTTTGACCTTACCCAGAAACAAGTTACTCCACCTGAAATGTGGTATTAACATTCAACTGTCACCTCCCCACTGTGGCCTAGAGTGTCTTGTCATTTTGAATGTGTTATGTTTCATATTCTTGAAGCTGTGAGCAGGAGTTCTAATGCTACATGGTGATGGTCTAATAGTATTTTTTTCTTTTATAAGCACTTTTTGAGCATAAAAATCATGAAGTATTATGGATATCATGGAATGATTTAAAGTTAATGTTATTTCTGTGACATAGAGCAACAATGACAACCATGTTAACTGGATGTGTTTTGAGTATTCTGGCAATTTACTGGAGAAAACTTTAAAGAATCAGGGCTGGTAAAACATGTAATAACTTTTTTATTTTTTTTTTATTTCAGACCATTCTTTAAAAATTTAAAAATAATAAATGCTGTGAAATGGATAAACGACATATATTTACGTATTTACATGTTCTAGATGGACTTATCACACCACAGTGATCAAACAATCTCAGGTCAAGTAGTAGTTTTTTTAAGGTCCTTTGGATTGCCTGGGGATAGAAGCTCCTCTCTCAGTTCTTGCCTGAATGATGCAGAACCTTCTGCCTGATTGCAGAACTTGGAACAGTTTGTTGCCAGGATGGGATGGGTCCTTCACCCACATAGCAAGCAGGTTTGGCCCGGATCTGGTGTCAAGCCGGCACTGCTGGCTGACTCCTGGCATGATAAGATGCATGTCATCCAGATATGGGCCAGGCCTGGCAATGATGGCACTGTTTATGTTCCTATTTTCCTGGTTTAGTTAGAAGACCAGTTAGAAGACCCAAATGTTGCAATACTATACTGCTATGTTAGCCAACGTTTCAAATGCAGGTTTGACAGGTTTGTGAGTTTACACTTTATCCAAACCCTAGTGAGGGTTTATTCATGGCCCCATGTGTGGGCCACCTTTGGCAAACCAGATCTGGGCCACCAAAGGGCCGTCATTCTTTACAGTATGTGGGCCATGTGTAAGCACATTGTGTGGGCCAGATCTGGACCATACCAATTTTGCTATGTGGGAAAGACCCATGCATCTCTGGGCATGCAGCCTCTCTTTCTCTCTCGATAT